CCACAACAGTGAGAGGCCGGCGTACCGCAAAAAAAAAAAAAAAAAACAAAAAAAACTAGGGAAATATTGTCCATTTCCATTGTGAACCTGCCGTGTGACCTTGGGAAAGTTACTAGCTTCTCCAAGACTCGGTTTCCTCATGTGAAATATAGAGATTACAACAGTACCTAGCATACAGAGTTACTGTTAGCACTAAATTAAATAATACATGTAATATACTTTTTGCAATACAGGACACATGGTAAAAAAAAAAAAGGTTAGCTACTATTATTATTCTTAACTTCATTGAACTTTATTAGAAATTACTATAAAGAAAGTGTGTATATATATATACACACACACACACACACACACATATATATATACATACACAATGAAACTACAACTCAGTCATAAAAAAGAATGAAATTTTGCCATTTGCAACAACACGGATTGACTTGGAGGTTATTACACTAAGTGAAATAAGTTAAATAGAGAAAGACAAATACTGTATGATATCACTTATGTGTGGAATCTAAAAAATAAAACAAACTAGTGAGTATAATAAAAAAGGAAATAGACTCACACATATAAAGAACAAACCAGTGGTTACCAGTGGGGAGAGGGAAAGGGGGAGGGACAAGATAGGGGTAGGGGATTAAGAGGTACAAACTACTATGCATAAAGTAAATAAGCTACAAGGGGGACTTCCCTGGTGGTCCAGTGGTTAAGTCTCTGAGCTTCCACTGCAGGGGGCCCGGGTTTGATCCCTGGTCCGGGAAATAAGATCCCACATGCTGCATGGTGCGGCCAAAAAAAAAAAATGCTACAAAGATATATTGTACAATACAGGTAATATAGCCAATATTTTATAATAACTAAAAATGGAGCATAACCTTTAAAAATTGTGAATCACTATAGTGTACACCTGTAACATGTAATATTATACATCAACTACACTTTAATAAAAAGTATTTTTTTAAAGAAAAATACTAAAGAATTATGCCCTAAAAATCTCTTTCATGTAAAACAAGTCTGAAGATAAGCAGTCTTGGTCTAGTATGCAGCTTCCAAGCATTATTAATGACCCAGTCTCCTCCTTTTTTCTCTAGAAATTTTAGCATGTGATACCCATTCTCAAATCACCTCCTGGTCCAAGATGGTTGCTAGAGCTCAAGCCACTTCATCTGCATTCCAAGTAGCAGGAAAAAAGGGGAAAGATAAACATGCATTTTCCTAGAGTCCCCCAGAACATTTCTGCTTGTATCAATATTTTATAGGCCGGAACTCATCCACATGTTCACACTTAACTGCAAACGAACTTGGAAAAAGTAATCTTTAATTCTGAGCAGTAAGAAGCTCAGCTAAAAATCAGGGTTAGATTACTAAGGAGGAGAGGAAAAGATATCAGAGTAAGTAACTAGCAGTTTCTGCCAAAACCTCCAAGCTCACTTCCAGCCGAATCTGCTGGCCACTCGCTTTGACTGGTCCTGTCTTTCAGAGGCTCACCTGCTCAGTGTCTCCCAAATATTGCTCTTGTGTGTCCTTGTGCATCATTCCTCCTGGCTTGCAGCACCTCCCAGCTTCACTTCGCTACTCTGAGGCCTCCTTTTTCAAGGCTTCTGTCAGGGCTCTCCCCATCCACAGAGCATCCTGATGCCATTTTCCACTGTAAGCCAGAAAATGCCACCCCTGTGTTTTACCTTGTTATCTGAAATTTACCTCTACAATGACCATGTGAGTCTGTCTGTCAGGCATAGGGCCGATTTTGTTTTCAATCAAGTTCCTGGCAAAGTAAGTTTCTTACTTACTGTAAATATTCAATATATATTTGTTTTCTGTTATCAATGAGAGTCATAGACAAGATCTGGACTCAGAGTTTAAAAGTTTGAGGAATTATTCCAGCTGGTCAAATTCCCTTTGCTCCTGTGAGTAGATTCATGAAACTAACCCTCCTTGGAGTTAGTTTCCAAAGAAAGATAGAGAAGATTTAGGGAGTGGCAAAATTTATATAAAATTCACAGGGGACAAGTTTAAAAGTCTTTATAAGCCCTTTTTATGGATAAAGTCAAGGCTTCCTGGATAGTTTCTGGTCTCTGTTTAACTTTGCAAAGGTTACTGAAGCTCTTAGAGTTTCATTAGACAATCTAATGAAGTCTGACCCTCCCATTACACAGATGGGCAAAGTGAGATAAACTAAGCCTAGAGATAAAATGTCTTGGCCCAGGTAGTGCCAGAACTAGGGGATTGTTTCCAGATACACTCCAGATCCCTTACCACTAAGCCATAGCACAATGACGGAAGATCTTCGTTTCCATTTCTAAAGAAATGAGATGATTAATCATTCTGCTCTACCCATCGCTCTCCCCTAGACTCTCTGTCAGCAGCCCAGATTCAGACTCTCCAATCAATTGAGGAATGCCAGTTCTAAGGAATTTACATGCTAAACAAATCCAGACTTCTGAAGGCCTTAATTTAGAAATGGGGATTCCAAATCTTATCCTAGCCTCCCTTTCCAGCCTTTTGGTCTCTATGGAGCATTCCCAATATCTAAGCAGACAAGTCATTTTATTGCCATGTCATATTTACAGTTTAGAACTTGCTGTTGTGCTGTGTTTTCTTTTCTCAGATCTAGTACGAAGACTAAATAGGAAGGTGACATCAAACAGTTGGGCAAACACAGCTGTCGGAAGCTGCCCCGAGCACTCTGGGAAAGCAGTTGGTCCCCCTCCAGTAACACGCAGGGGCAGGCTGGCACTGAAAGGTCATTGGCTACCGAATAGCAAGCTCACTCTGAGGCGCCTGAGATGTGATGGTTGTTTGGAATCCACTAATGCTGATTTTACTCAAGAGTTTGTTGTTTTTCAGGGCAACCATGGATTATTATGACTACTAACATTTGCTGTTTATTGAGTGTCTATGGTGTAAACAGAAAAGGGAATGTGTCCATCTTCAAGAAGAAGCTGGCAAACATGCTACATGTGGGCTGGGAAGGGGGTACATTTCGTTCTGGCTGATCAACAGATGGTCCCACAACAGCCCTTGGAGGCCTCACAGGTCACACAAACCCACTCCTCATTCCCCACCTGGGCCACGGAGGTGCTGGGACCTTCGAGGGCAGAGGAGGTGTGGAGTCGGGGAGGGGAGTGTTGGCCATAAGCCAGAGTCACACATTTCCAACCTCTTTTATTACCAGAGAGCCACATGGGCATAAATTGCAGCCAAGACAGTGAAGTCTCCTACAGTAAATTCAAGTAGCTACAGACAATAAGGAGAACTCAAAAATGCTCATTCTGAAAGACTCCAAGAAATGACTCCAAGCAGATTCTTCATAGCACCATGGGTTTTATTGAAAAGTGGAAGGAACTCTAATGTTTTCAAATCCAGTCTCCCTGTCCTCCACACAACAGTCCTGTCAGATAAATTTTAGTGCCTTTTTGAACCATTCCAAGGTCTGGGATTCCTCAATTTTGTGAGGCAGGTTTATTAGTAATGCCCCGCTTTGGTTCTGTAATTGTTCAATGGGAAATCTTTGAGTGGCAAGGACCCAGACTAGAGTAAGAAAGTAAGAAAGAATCAAATTCTGCAGAGTTCTGTAACTTAAACAATACCATAAACAAAGTCAAAAGAAAACTGGTAAAAAAAATTGCGATACATACGAGAATGGGTTGAATTTCCCTAATATAAAAAAGCGCTTGTATAGCAACTTGAAAAAGGAAATCAAATTTTAAAAGAGAAAAGGCTATGAATAGGCAATTCACAGGATAAAAAAGGACCAATAAGCAGATGAAAAGAGCTTTTATTGCACACATTAGAAAATTGCAAATTCAAGCAATAAAATGCCATTTTTCACCAGTGCTTGACTAATGTCAAATCATCTGACAATACCCAGAATAGGGGGAGACAAACACTCTCATACTTCTTGAAGAGCAATTTGGTTATGACTATTGAAATTTAAAATGAACACAGCCTTTGAAATTTAGTTCATAAGTATACTTTTGTAAGTACACAGAAACATTTTCTGCAATATTTGTAATAGAGGGATTTTTGCAATAGGAGAAAGTAAACAATTTAAATGCCCATTGATAAGAAATTGGGGTAATAAACTGAGGTACATCTAACATGGAATACTCAGAGCTGTTAAGTCAAATGAGGTAGCTCTGCATGGGTAAATATAAAAAGATATCTAAGACATATTAAGTGAAAAGCACAAGGTGTGGAAATGTGTATATGAGCTTATGTATGTAAAAAATTATATATGCTTGTATGGTCACAGAAATTTCTGCAAGAAGACACGAAGTAT